CGCGCGCGCGCGCCCCCCCCAACTGGATTGTTGGGGGTGGGGTGCGTTGGCGCGCGCGCGATTTTCGTGTCCCAGCTTCCCCGCCCTGCCTCGGCTGCGCCCGAGAGTGCGCCCCCTCCTCGACTCTGCCCCCGCGCCGCCCCCTTTTTAAATGGGGGGGGTGGGTGGGGGTGGCGTTCGTCGCGCCTCTTCGCGGACGCGTCGCTGCGATGCTATAGGCGAACGGCGGCGGCGGCGAACGACTCAACGACGAGCGATTGCGAGCGGGCGACGAACGACGAACGACAGAGGGCGAACGACAACCACGAGCGACGAGCGACGAACGACGAACAACAAATGGTGACCAGGACGGCGACTGTCAACGAGCGGCAAACTTCAAACTCATCCTGGCGATGAGCGACGGACGTCGATGGACGCCGCGCACGCGGGCGCATCGCAACGCGATGACCGCGCGAGGGGTGGGTGGCAGTCAGCATGAAGCCGGATCCCGTGAACCCTCAGGCCGCGTCAGAAATCCTCGGGCGCGGACTCGCGCGTTGTCGGCGGCGGTCTCGGCGCGCGATTTTCGCGCGGGGGTCGGCGCGCGGCGCCAAGCAGCCTCCTCGCGCGACTGTGTTGCGCTAGCGCGCGCCGCAGGGAAGGACTCGCGGGTGGCGTCGGCGGAAATCTCGGAACGCAAATTCTCGCGCCAGGGTCGGCGCGCAGAGTCAGGCAGACTCCTCGCGCGACTGGGCAGCGCCCGAGCGCGCGGACGAGGACTCGCGCGTCGCGTCGCCGGCGGTCTCAGCACATGATTGTCGCGTGGGGGTTGGCGCGCGGCGCCAAGCAGCTTCCGCGCGCGATTGGGTGGCGCTCGCGCGCGCGGGAGGGGGCTCGCGCGCCGCGTCGACGATGGTCTCGGAACGCAAGTTCACGCGCGGGGGTCGGCGCGCGACGCCATGCAGCTTCCTTGCGCGAGTTGGCGTCGCTCGGGCGCGCGGGGGAAGGCTCGCGCGTCGCATCTTCGGAATTCTATTTCGGCGCCGTGGTCTCGATGCGCGATGGTGATGGCGCCTCGCCGCCCGACTGGACGCGCGCGCGCGTGCGCGCGAATGTCTCTGCGGATGCGCCGCAAACGCGCCGCATGTGCGGGCGCATCGCTACGCGACTACCGCGCGGGGGGAGGTTGCGGGGGTCTGCGAGAAAAGAAATGACATAGAATTGCTTTCTTGGGGTCCGTCAGGCCGCGACAGCTGGGGCTTCCTGGGAGCTTCCAGTGGCTTCCTGGTGGCTCCAGTGTCTCCCTTGCAGCTTTCCTGGACATGTTTGTCAGCCTGCGAGGTGCCTTGGCCTTTGCCCTACTTATTCAAGTATGGCCCAGTATGGCCCAGTGTATGTGGTGCGCCGAGAAAGTGTGCGCGCACCCACAAACATTCAGGTTCGGGGATTCAGCGCTGTCGCGAGAGAATTCATCAGCGGCCCTGAGAGTCGTTTCCCGCCGTAGTGACACCCGCGGGGTGCAGGGCATTTTCAGCGACGTGGCGTGCAGGCAGCTTGCGGGCGAAGGAGACGACGAGGAGGAAGGAAGGATATGGGGCCCGAGGTGCAGATCTCCTCGGTCGAGGAAGCTCGCCCACAGCGGGGGCAGTAATGCATCTAGTTGACGGGTTCTGTGCGTCTCATAGGCTACAGGTATGGTCCAGCGACGCAGCATAGATATTTACAGCAGTACATGACTCGGGCGAGTGCTATATTGCTTTGATATTCAACGCGAGCTCAAAGCGGGACCTCTGACAGTGAAGGCCCTCAGCGATCCCCGGGGGTCGGGGTGTGTGGCTAGCCATCGGAGTACCATTGGGTATCGAAGCGAAGTCGATATCCAAATCGTTGCCAGGTAATGATTTACAATGTCAGCCGAACGCGCCCGACTTGGTCATATTAGCTGGATGCATTCAATGGTGGGAACTAGTGTGGTGCGCAGCGTGCAGTGGCGTGGCGCGCGAGATATGAATGCGGATGGGCATGTGAGAGGAAACGTTGACAGGGAATTGGGTTCCAGAAGCAAAGTCAGGCAATCAGGCATTCACTTATGGCGTGGGGGCGTTTGCTCCCCGCAGAGGGAATTCGCGAGCACTAGAAGTGTTTCAATGCCTCGCAGGAGGCCGGCGGAAGGCGCGGCAGCAGTGCCATGATATTCTTGCTCTGTTGCCGGGATGTTGGGGCGAGAGGCCCTCTCCTGGCCCTTTGCGGGCATTCGACGCACTTGTGCTCTTACGCGAAGAAAGGTCAGTACTGCGGAGAGAAGCACCTCTGCAGCCGGCCAGGATAAAAGGGGGCTGAAGCACGGAAGCGATGCTATGTTCCCAGGGTCGAGAAGAGTACAGTCGGGGCCCTGGAGAAGGAACCCTTTTCGTTGGGGAGGGGCTCAGTGTTCCTTAAGTGTTTCGCAGCTTGCCTTGGATTGTCCTCAGGTTTTCGACAGGAAATCGAAGGTCAACTTATGGAAAAAAGGGGGCCTCGTTCCTTATTTCGGGTTCCTTAGGTCAACGCCCCGAATGTATTTCCGTTTGGGTGAGCACGTTTCCGAGGCCGTCAGACCTGGCAGCTGTAAGCCTGTCTTGTCTTTGTTCCGTCCCTCTCGTGCCGTGGGCGGTGCGCGCCAGGCCGCCGCGGCCCTTCTATTCTGCCCGCCCTGTCGCGCTGTCAGCGCTGTCGTGGTCATTCCCCGGTGCAGGAGTAGCGGTTCACATTCTATCTGGAGGGAAAGAAACACACAGACACAATTAATCGTCGCCCCCCCGGAAAATATGCAAACATATGGGAGGTGGGGGGGAAGACAAAAGGCCCCTAAAATATAGGAAAATATAGGGAATTATTTTATTTGTGTGTATGTATTTGTGTGTCCCAAGGCCCCTTCATTCTATTCCTGCCTCTTCCCCTCCCGCGCTTAATGGGGGTCTACTTAGGGGAGGCAGGATCCTCATTTCTCGCTGCCATTTGGGCTTGTGTGCCAAACGGCACGCGCCCTACGTGCCGACGTGCATGCCGTACGTCTCGTTTGCGAGGCAAAATACCGGAGTCCTAATTTTCCCAGTGCCCTTATGGTCTACAGGGTAGCCCGAGGAGGCTACTTTCGACTCTCTCGGGGGCGATCTTGGGAACTTCTTGAGTGACCTCGGGACCCTGGGCCGCCTTGCTGCCATCTTGAGGCTTCTCGGGTCGCTTTTCGCCCGTTTCGGAGCCCCCTTGGATCGTCGTGGTGGTCTCCATGAGGCCGCTCGGGCCGCCTTGGGTCCTTTTGGCTTGGAACAAGTGGTGACAGCTCCGAAATGTCTCGAGGGGTGCGCGACACACCCCGGCAGTTCGGGGCCCAGGCCCGTTGGTACCCATGGTTCGGGACCGAGGATTCAGAGGGCCCGAGGGCTCTCCGGCTCGCGCCTCGCGGCACGGTGGCGGGGAGTGTGGCCCTGGTCGCCAGGAGTGAGGTTGAGTGAATGAAGGTGGAGTGGGGCAACACAGAGAAGTGTATGGCAGGGTCGGCACGACAACGGACGGGCAGGGTACAGAAAAGCAGGTGTCGGGAAGGTAAAGTCGAGCAGGTACTCTTGGGCCCTTTCGAGGCTCTCTGGAGGCCTTGTCGGGGGCCTCGAAGGGCCTCGTGGGGCCATCTTTGGAGGCATCCATCGATCAAAGAAGGAGGCGGCGCTTATGTCAGCCCCCCCATCGGAAGCCCCGAAGTCGTCTCTTGTAGCCCCCTCGCGGCGCTCCTGGGGCGCTGTTGGGCGCTCTTGGGCCGCTTATAAGGCTCTCTGATGCCGTCTGGGAGTGTTTGAAGTCCCACAAACCCATCGGAAGCGAAAGGGCGAGAAGGCAACACATACATGTACTTGTGTGTTTGGGGTTTTGGCCGTTCGGGGGCGTCACGAGGCTCCATGGCCACTTGGAGCCGTCTTGGGGCGGTCTTGGCGCCTATTGGAAGCATGTTGTGAGCTGTCCTGGGACATCTTGGGCTGTCTTGTGCGATCTTGGAACCCTTCTTGGGCTACCTGGGGCCCTCTTGGAACCATCTTGGGCCATCTTGGACGCTGTAACGTCTCGCGAGCATGCCCGTCCAGACCCAGAGCGTGGCCTCTCCCCGAAGGAAGCCAAACCGCCTACGCCCTGAGGGTCAGTGGGAGCTGTACGGGGAAGTGCGCTCGATATGCACCGCGTGGTAGGTATCACTCGAAAGCGGAAGTGCCCCGGACAGGATGCGGTCTGGTCCGGTTAGAAGGAGGGGCGGTTCTCTTAGTTTGAGCGGTAGAGCCACACAGGGCAGGGCCCACAGTCAAAAACCCTACTAAGGACGCGCGACTTTGCTCAGGGTACCCTTGCGTCCTTGCTCTTCCTTGCTCTTGCGTCCTTGAGGTTTTCGTCGTCCGCCGCCCCAAAAATCCCAACTTCGGCTTCCAAGGGTCTTGCGTCCTTGCCGCGCGTCCTTATTAGGGTTTTTGACTGCAGACACCAGGGCAGGCGCCGTCTGTGCTGTTATCGCCACCAGGCCGTGCTCTCTTCTCTACTTGTAGCCACCGGTGGTCCACATCCGCAGCTGCTTCGGTTCGAGCACCCTCCCCGCGCATGTGGGCTGCGGCCGCGCCGATGGGCGCCGGGGGCGCGCGCCCATGCTCCGCGGCGACCCCGCTCCGTCCGAGCCCGCGGCTCGCCGCGGGGCCCGCCCCCGCAGGGGCGTGCGGGCGCGGGCGCTGGCCGGGGCGGCGTGCGGGCTAGCTCGAGGAAGGAACAGGGGCACGAGCATGAACTTCCTCCTCCTCCTCCTCCTCCTCCTCCTCCTCTTCCTGGCGCGCAGTCAGTTCCACATCCGCGGCGGCCCGCGGCGGCTCGCCTGCGTTGCCCGAAGGCTCGGCGCCCCGCTCGGCCCGGGGCGGCCATGCTGCAGCGGCGGGGGGGGGATGGGGCGGAGACACGGAGGCACAAGGAGCGGGGCTCCGCGCGGGTTCCTCGGGCCCGCGCCGGGGCCCCCCATGGTGGCTGCGCCTCGCGCGCCGCCCCGTGGCGCGCGCGCCTGCGCGCCACGGGGCCTCGACAGTTCCTGCTCGTGCCGTTTTTTTTTCGTTCCTCTGCCAGCGTGCCGATCGATCGGGGGCGCCCGGGCTGGCGAGGGCTTTGCCGCCGGCCTGCTCGCGGGCGCGCCCCGCGCAGCAGTGCCTCTGCGCGGCGGGGCCGCGGAGGGCGTGCGGTCGTGGCGGGCGGCGGGCGGCGAGGCGGCGTTCGAGCTCCTCTCCGCGCCCCCGCGAGAGCTCAGCAGCGACCAGGCGAAGCAGCGGCTGGTCGGCTCTGAGATAGTCAGCGCGGGCGACGAGAGGAAGCTGCGGGCCACCATCGAGAGCATCCTGCGCGACCAGGAGGAGCTGCGCATGTCGATGCCCATGAAGAGCGTCTCCACCCTCACGAAGACGGCCTCCTCGGCTGGGCTGGCGACGGCGGCGAGCCTCACGGTGTTTCTCTCGCAGCCCTGGTGCGCAGCGCTGCTGCCCACCATCACGGGTCTCATGTTCATCCTGACGACCTCTGCGGAGAGTTCGGGCATCCGCTCGAAGGGCCTTGCGCGCCTCCACTCCGCCACCGCCTCCTCGCTGGCCTCGCAGCAGGAGACTATCCTGGCAGAGGCAGATATCCGGAAGGCGCTGCTTCCTTTCGGCGTGGGCCTCACGGCGATTTTCTCCGCGGCCTGCGTTTCGCTGAGGCTGTTCAACTCCAGAGTTGCTAGCGATACCGCCGAAGGCGCCTTCAACCCGCTGTCCACTTTCAATGTGCTGTTCAAAAGGCTTACGCCTTTTCTGCTGACCCCCAGAACAAGGATCTCGCGAAGATGTTCTGCGGTGGGCGCGAGCACTCCCCTACACTGGCCATCCTGGGGATCCTTGGAGCATCTTGGGGCCATCTTGGAGCTCTCTGGCAATGTTGGGACTGTTAGCGGCCCTCTTGAGTTTTTCTTCGGGCCCTTCTGGGGGCCCTCTTTGGAGCAGTGCTGGCCCGGGACGGACGATGACGAGCTCGTGGCCTCCCCCTCACCCCCGGGGAGGGGGAGGAACACGGGGAACATGGGGAAACAGGGGGAACATGGGGGGGTGGGAGTCTCAACCCTCGCTCACGCGCGCTCTCTCACCCCCAGAGCAAGCAGGGGCAACGCGGACTGCTGCTGTGCACCGTGTCCGCCGTCTTCGGGGCGCTGTCCACCAGCGACCAGTACCTCCGCATGCGCACCACGCTCACCCTGCAGCCCGAGGAGCAGAAGAGCGACAACGAGACCGAGTGGGAGCGGCGGCGGCTGCCGTCGGTCACGACCGAGCCCACCACGCTGGACAGGGTCGTCACGGGCGGCACGGCCCTGGCGATCTGCCTCTCCCCCCTGGCCATCGAGGCCACCATCATCGGGTTCAACGTGAGCGGCATGGACCCCGGGGCGCAGTTCAGCCAGCAGCTCCAGGAGGTCGCGGACGAGGCCGCCGTGGTCATCTCGGCGATCGCCGGCACCCTCGCGTCCCTGGTGTACCTGCTGGCCGAGAAGGACTTTGCCGACGCCGAGCAGCGCATCGCCATGCAGTCCAAGCAGTCCGCGCTCTCGGAGCTCTTCTTCGCCCAGGCCCTGGCGGAGGCGGCGGGCCTGGCCTTCCGCAGCGCCGTGGTGGGCTTCACCCTGGGCATCGGCGAGCTGCTGGTGGAGGGGGTCGGCCCGGTCATCCGACGGCTCTGCTCACTCCCGCCAGCCCGCGTTCGGGGGCGGCCAAGAGGGGGGTGATGACCAGGGGGGGGGGTGGATATCATGGCCCATGATGTTTCCCCAGATCTCATGGCGCCCCTTCTCATCTAATTACGTCCCCGGCCCCCCCCTTGGGCCGCTCACATGCCGCCGGCCATGAGTTGCACCCCTCTCCTCTTGGGCGCCCCCCTCGTGGCCGCCCCCGACTCGCTGCAGTCGGCTGGGGGTCCGAGGTGGCCCCGCGCCGGTGCAGGCGGGGCGAGGCTTCGAGGTTCTCGGTGCGAGGAGGCTGTCCGTTTCTGCTCCCGGGAGCCGCTCTCGGGTCCCGGGGCCGTCAACATCGGATCTGGGGTGAATCACTGCACCAGGTGGACTCCTGGAGGGGTCCACGGATCGATTTTGAGCGGATGTGCCTATGTCCCCCTTCTTTCTTTTTTTTTTTTTTTGTCCGAGGCCCATCCAGTTCAGACCTCCTGGCCGCCTTCAAAGGTCATCCATGCAAGTGAGACGTTGAAGCAAAGGCTGCCTCGGGACCCGGGATGGGGGGGTCCTTGTCTCGGGCCGCTTCTCAGAGATTTGCGTCCACAAGCCCGCTGTGGCCAGAAAAGCCCTTCGTTAGCGCGATGGTTGTGCTGTATCACTGTTGTCGCTCGGGTATTCTGGGAGGCGCCATTGGTAGGGCCACGCAGCCATCTCCTGGGGCCCGAGAAGCCTGCAGCAGCAGGAACAACAGCAGCAGCAACATCAACAACGACGCAACAGCGCAGCAACGCAGCAGCAATCCGCACCGCAGAACCCCACTGCAGCCACTCCAGAATGACCGTTCGGCCCCCCCACTCTAATGTATTCCTCCTCCTCCTCCTCTTCCTCTTCCTCTTCCTCCTCCCCCTCCTCCTCCTCCTCCACCTCCTCCTCCTCCTCCTCCTCCTCCTCCTCCTCCTCTAACGTTCAGTGTGAAACTGGCCTCTTGCCGCCGATTCTGGCACGCCTCGGGCCCGTGGGGCTGGCGGATCGCCTCGGCGGCGCTGTGGCCATGGCCCGGCCTCTTCGGCACCGTGGGCGCCACGTTCCGCTCCAAGCTGGTGGGCTACGAGGCGAAGGCGGCGTACCTGGAGGGGCAGAGGGCCCGCAAGGGGGACCCGACGCTCGTGCAGGAGAGCGCCCTCTCCTCCACAGTCGAGGAGCTGGAGCGCATACGCACCGACGTGTTCCGCGTCGATCGCTTCACGGACGACGTGCGGTCGCAGATGCTCCAGCTGCCCGTGGGCACCACGCAGGCGTTCCCCAAGCTGCGGAGGGAGGGCCGGCGGAAGGTGCACTCGATCGCGGCGGAACTGGGCTTCGCGTCGCAGTCCGTCTATGACGGTGGGCAGCGCGTAGTGTTGGTCGCGAACGAGAGGGGGGCTGCGGAGCCCGAGAGGAGTGATCTGGATCTGCTCGCGGTGTTCGGGCAGCTGGCAGACGACGCAGGCAGACAGGTTCAGCATCGTCCAACCGATCCCCTCATGCCCATTCTGACATGGCATCTCAGCCCCACTAGCCGACCCTCCTAGGTGGGGATAGGTCCCGCGAACCCCGAAGGGAACAACACCTACACATACATATACATACATATATGTCAATGTGTGTGTGTGTGTATGAGTGTCTGTGTGTGTGTGTGTGTGTGTGTGTGTGTGTGTGTCTAGATGTACATGTGTATCTATGTATACATATTTCTATCCCCACCCAGGGGTGTAAGTCTGCCATGGGGATCAAGGCCATGCCACTGGGGATGGGGATCGGGTATGCGATGCTCACAGGTCCAGGGATTGCTGCGGGATGGTATCCCAGAGTCATCGAAGCCGTCGTTCGGCGCCGCCGTCTCGATCGCGGCCCTCAGCTTCGCGTCGCCGCTGCTGACCTCGGAGATTGGGGTGGAGCTCGCCACCCCCTTCGCGGCGGGCGCGCTGGCGCTTCAAACGGTCTTGCAGGAGCGCAACTCCAAGCGAACAGTGGGCAAGGCGAAGCGCGAGACGGCGAAACTGGAGCAAAGGCTGGCAAGGGCCTCGGCCAGGCTGGCGCTCGCCACCGTGGCGCTGGCATCCCTGCCGACGTGCGTCTCTGTCGGGATGACAGCTGCGATAGCATCCTGCATCTGCTTCATCTGTGACAAGTCGCTGCTGGTGTACGCTTTCAGCGCCACGGCCCTCATGGCCGCGATTACGGCCTACGCAGCGGCTGTTCAGAGACAAAGGAGGGTGCGTAAGTACGTCTCGGCCGCCATAGACCATGTGGATGGCCCGGGCCTGCCGGCGGACATCCTGCACAGCCGCAAAAGCTGGCTGGCGATCGGTGCCTCGCTGGCGCTGCTGACACCAGGAAGCTTGCTGCAGCGCCTGACGATTGCCAGCGCGACCGTCACGTTTGGCACTGTGCTCGTCCTGTCCGCGGCAGCCTCGGATCTCTCCTGCGGGGAGTTCTACGTCGCCCGCGCCGAGCGGGTACTCGCGCGCACCGACGCGTGGTCGCAGGAGGCGTCCTGCGCCTCCCGCGCCCTGCCCTTTGGCAGCGCGGCCGCGATCGTCAACACCCTGCTGGCCACGGCCCTCGTGAGCTCCGTGGGGCCGGTCAGCGTGGTCTTCTCGGCCATCGGCCTCGGCGTCTGCGCCCGGGCGCTGCAGTTCGGCAACCAGTCCCAGCGCTACGCGAAGCTCGCGGAGAGCGAGCGCGAGGACATCCAGGCGCTCAAGCCCAGGATGCCCTCGCCCTGGCGCGGCCGCAGCGCCACCTACGCCGCCACCGTGTCGCAGGCGGGGCGCGACGGGGCCCCGGCCAAGGGCTACGTGCGCAGCGACCTCTTCGTGCGCGACCAGCAGAGGCGGCGGCGCAGGAGCTGGCGGCGGCTGCTGCAAGGCGGGGCCCGAGGCCTCTGGTCCTGGGCGGGGCCACGAGCCATCGTGACGTTCCTCCGGATCTGGCAGGAGGACCCGCCGGAGTCCGAGTACCGCCCGACGCCCGCGGAGCGCGCGGTGGAGAGCGTGCGGGGGGACATGGACGAGGTGCGCGTGTCGGTGCGCAGCAGCGAGAAGAACTGGCTGCGCACCGGCTCGGCCGTGACGCTTTCCACCCTCGCGGCCATTCTGGCGCCGGTGGTGCTCTCCAGTTATTATGTTGGCGTCATCCTGCCCGTTGCAGGCGCGGGGCTCACGCTTTTCGCGGTGGCTGCGGAGAGTAACGCGAGGCGAAGCGTGGCCGCGTCGAAGGTGTGGTCGGCCCAGCTCGCGGAGGTGACGAACTTCCTGGAGGAAATGACAAGCTCGAGTGCCCTCTACCGGCACCGCCTCATCGCGATGACAGGAGTGACGGCCTGCCTGGCCGTCATGGGCCTGGCGGTGGAGCATCCTTGGCGCATGGCCGCGGCGCTGCGGCCGATGGCGCACACGGTGCAGGCGGCCGTTCAGTGGGCGCTGGTGGGCATCACGTCCTTCATCTGTTTGCAGAGCATCCAGCAGGTCGCGATGGTGCTGCACTGGTCGCGCCAGGTGACCGAGCAGATGCAGGCTCCGATCGCGGTCGCCTCCGTCTGCGACCTGAGGGCGGAGCAGCCCAGCGAGGTGCTGCAGCAGGCCTGGCTGCTCCGGCAGCGCCCCTCGCCGCTCGCGCTGCTGGCCGCGCTGCCGCCCCTGGCGCTGGCCTTCTGGCCGCCAGGCAGGCCGCTCGGTCAACGGGTCGTGGCGTCCACCGCGGCCGGCGCCTTCGTCGTCTGCACGGCCCTGCTCGTCGCCGAGCGGGCCGCGACCAATGCCGAGCTGGCCCAGGCCGCGCGGGCGCGGACATTCTCGCTGGCAGACGCGTTCTCGAACGAGGCCGAGCAACAGGCTGCGCTGCTGCCGCTGGCCTCTGCGGCGGCCATCGCGTGCTCGGCGCTGATCGCGTTCGGGACCGAGGTGAACCCCTTCGCGGCGTCCGCGCTCACCATCCTGCAGGGGGTCGCCTGGATCGTGGCCTCCCGCAAGGGGCTCGCCGCGAAGTTCGAGAGCACCGCGTCGCTGCAGGTGGAGCAGGTGTCCGAGAGCAACCGCCCGGCCTGGAAGAGCGGCGAAGGCGACAACCTGCCTCGCCGCCTGCGGCGCTTCCTGCTGAGGATGTAGGAGTCGTCTTCGTAAGGCTGACGAGCGTCAGAGTTTTCAATATGAGAGAACGTGATCGTTTGGAGATTCTGGCACGCTACAGCCAGCGCAGCAGGGTCCTCTCGCAGAAATTCATACGAATACGAGAAACGTCTCACCTGTGCTTTTGACATGCGTGAGCTTTACTTACAAAAAGCCTCTCGTGGCATCACGTCTACCTGCCTGCGGCAAACCCGCCACCGCGCCAGCGCAGCATCAGAATGCGGACAGGATGTTTCTGCTCAGCTCTCCCCAAAGCTCCGTGGAGCCATCCTGTGGCAGCCTGGGAAGCCTCGCCGCGGTGGTGTGACGGGGGCGTGACCGTCATGTTGCGTGGTGGTTGAGTTTGCTCTTCCTTTCTTTTCTGTTGGAAGCCTCTTGGTGATCCGTTGGTTCTGCCGAGCTGGCTCGGTAGACATGTCTTGGGGTCGTCTTGGAGCTTCTTGGGGTCATCTTGGAGCCCTCTTGGGGCGTCTTTGGAGCACGATTCGGCATGGGCGGTAGCCCGAAAAGAAGGCCAGCGCTTCAGCGAGAGCAGCATTTTGAAAAAACCCAAGCGAAAACCCAATTCCCAGGAATCCGGTGTGTCAAAAACCAGTGCGCGGAGGGGGGCCGAACATTTCCCGGACGCCAGCAGGGGAGAGAGGAGAGGAAGTAGTCTTCCTAGTGTTTACTTGTGGTGGAGGAGGAGGAGGAGGAGGAGGAGGAGGAGGAGGAGGAGGAGGAGGAGGAGGAGGAGGAGGAGGGGGGGGAGGAGGAGAGGAGGAGGGAAGAGGAGAGGAGGGGGGGAGGGGGGGAGAGGAGGGAGGGGGGGGGGGAGGAGGAGGGGGGGAGGACGGAGCAATATCCTCCCCCCCGGGGGAGGACGGGATGGGAGAGGGGGCAGTCTCCCCCCCCTTGGGGGGAGACCGCCCTGGGCCCCAGCCCTCTCGGCCTGCCCCGCCCTCGCCTCCGCGAGCAGCGCGGCGGCGTCGGGCAGTCATGCGCCGCACGCACAGATTCTGCTGCTGCTCCTGCTGCTGCCGCTCATCGCTTCTGGCTCAAGTGCAATCGACTGCAAAGTCACGCTATCTTTCAACGATTCGGCACTCGCAGCGACACCCCTTCGCTGCCGAGGGCGGTAGGAAGCCCCTCCTTTCGCCCCTTCCATCAGATCCGTAAGCTAAGAAATGGCGGCTGTCGCCCAGAAAAGCGGCGCTCGGCGGCGCGCAGAAATGATCGGCACTCAGTTTTTTGACGCTTCTGGACCTTACCTGAGATCTGACGTTGCGAAAACATGCAGCATCGCAGAACAGCACGGCCGGAGCCCACGACCCACTCCTTCTGCGTCCTTTCTCGAGCTGGATCGATCTGTGAGGGTCCCAGGGCCCGAAGCGGGGCGAAGACGCCCGCTGTGAAACCATGGCGACACCATGGTTTTCCAGGGTTTGCGGACCTCTGGAGTCGCCCTCGTGGCCACGGCTGGGCGCAGTGCGAAGCACTGGCCAGCAGGGGCCTCGGCCAGTCTTGAGCGCAGGCAGATGGGCGGTCGGGGCGTCGCACCGCGCCGCCCGGGAGCGTCCGAGGGGTCCGCACCAGAGGCCTCCGAGCTTCCAAGGAGCCCCCGCCCTCTTCCAAACCCCCCTCGGGTCACAGCACAGGTCACTCCTCCTCCTCCTCCTTCTCCTCCTCCTCCTCCTCCTCCTCCTCCTCCTCCTCCTCCTCCTCCTCCCCTCCTCCGCCTCCTCCTCCTCCTCCTCCTCCTCCTCCTCCTCCTCCTCCTCCTCCTCCTCCTCCTCCTCCTCCTCGGGAGGCTTCCAGCTGTTCTCGGCCCCTGGGGGCCCTCGCCGGGCCTCGGGGCCGTCAACACACGGCTCGGGAGGAGCCAGAGCCGCCCCCCGGGCGCGCGGGTCGAGACTCTCCCGAGGCCCACGTCGTGACAGAGCCGGGACGTCGGGGGTCTGGGTCGGGAGAGGCTGCCCCCGCTCGCCCCAGCCGCCCTGGGGGACCGCCCCGGGGCCTCTCCTGGCAAGCTTCTGCCGAGGCGCCTCCGGACGGCAGGGCCCCCCCCCTTCCTGCCGGGGCGGGGGGCAGAGGCAGAGAGGGCAGAGGGCGGAGGGCAGAGGCACGGAGGTGGCGGGGGGCAGAGGCGGGAGGAGGGCAGCGAGCAGAGGGCGGAGGGCAGAGGAGGGCAGCGAGCAGAGGGCAGAGGGCGGAGGGCGGAGAGGAGGCAGAGGCGCCCCTTTCCTGCCAGGGCGGAGGGCGGAGGGCCGAGGAATGGAGGTGGTGGGCGTGTGTGTGTTCTTGGGGCCCGCAGAGGTGCCAGCGCCCTCCTGGGCTCGGCGCGCTTCCCCGGCGTCGCTCCCGTGCTCGCGCTCGGCGCGCTCGCGGCGGCGCTGCTGGCGGCCTTCGTGTGGGGCGCGCTCCCGGCCGCCTTCGAGGAGGTGGCCGTCATGCTGGTCATGGCGCCGCTGGCGATCATGGGCCTGAGGTGGGGCACTCCCAGGAACTACCCCCCCTCAGATCCGAGGGCTGCAACTTCTTCACAACGCTCGTTTTCGCCCGGCTTCGGACCCCGGGGCCCTCGCAGGTCGATCCGGCTCGGAAAATGACGCAGAGAGTTGGGGTCTGGGGGCCCAAGGCTCCAGTGGTGGTTTGCCGCGATGTTGCAATCTTTTGCAACGTCGGATCTCAGGATCTGCGACCACTCGCGAGCCTTACTCGTGCGGGTCCAGCCGACGCTGGGGTCATTGGACGCCCCCGCTGGGGTTCGCCTGGCTGCAGGCACCCTTCGGGGTCTGAGCTCCAGCCAGCGATTCCGAACTGCGACCTGCAGGGGAAGGGCTCACGTGCGGCGGATTGCTACCACGACCGCCCTCGGGGCCTCCTCCTCCTCGGGAGCGCCAGAGTCGGAAACTGGAACATATACATTACCAGTGGCGGGCTCTCTTTCAATCCCAGGACTTTTTGAGGGTCGGGGGCGACGTCGGGGTGGTGTGGTGTATACTTTTTCCCCGCTTCCCCGGGAAACAACAAATGTATACACCAGGACCCCATATACACCATGATCCGCTTTCTTGTGAGAGTTTCAGCGTAGACCGGAAAAAGCGTTGGTGTATAGAGGTCGATTCCCTACAGAGATCCAAGAAATTTGCGCGGCAATGGTGGGCACTCGACCAGCGACGGCAGGCTTCGCTCGCTTGTTTTTTCATTGGGGGGAACTCACCGAGCGCGTTCCACTACCCGCAAAGTGCCTACTCGCAAACGTCCAGGACAAAACAAGTCTGCATCGATGGAATGCATCGTGAATCTTCCATGGCGGATCCAGGCCGTTTGCGAGTAGTTACTTTTGCGAGTAGCGGAACGCGCTTGCCTAGAAACGGGTCCCGAGGGAATCGAAGCCTCACGTTTCTCGCCGTGTTCGGGCTCTCGGGGTCCTCCGCTCGAAGCAGAAAACACGGCTCTCCTCGCCTCTGGGCCTCCTCCTCGCTCCAGGCCTCCTCCCCCCCCCACCCCGTGGGTTAGGCGACGGAGGCGGGGGCGGCTTATGTGACGGGTTAGGGCGGTGCGGGTGAGGTGATGGGGGTGGTACGGGTTAGGCGACGGGGGCGGGGAGATTCACCAAACCTTGGCGCCCGTGCTGCTAGATACCGCGTGTTTCTGCCAGCAGCTAGTGGGTGCCGCACCAAGCTGACCGTCTCCTCGGCGAATCGGAGCGCAATCCCAAAAACATTCCCCCCGTGGGTGCGCCCTCGGGGGCCTCGCTGCCCGCGCTGCGACAGCCCTCACGACGGGGTGCCTTCGGCCATTTGCGCTTTCCGGGGGCGCTTTACCGGGTCATTAATTTGAGTAATGTAAATAAGAAGAATCGGGAGCGGAAAAGAGGGGGGTGATGACTAGGGGGGGGTGGATTTCATGGCGCGGGCCATGATTTTTCCTCAGATTTCATGGCGCCTCTTCTTATTTCATTACGTCCCAGGCCCCCCCGCTGGGCCGCGCACGTGCCGCCGGTCATGATTTGCACCCCCCCCTCTTGGACACCCCCCTCTTGGCCGCTCCCGAAAGAAACATACACGCCATAAACATAAACTTGTGGCGCTCCGCGCGGATTTCTTGGATCCGCGCTGGGCCCCCCTGGCGGCGCCTCCGGCGCCGCCCCTGGCACGTTCCGCGCGCCAGGGGGGTGGGACCAGCGCAGATCCAAGAACTTCGTGCGGAGCACCAAAAGTTCATGTTTATGATGTTTCCTAGTTTTTTCTTAAAAAAGAAAGAACATATGTGTGTGTGTGTGTGTGTGTGTGTGTGTGTGTAAAAAAAACACGGACCACCTGGAGGCTGGGGTGGGGCCCTGGTTTTCGGCCGTTCCTGAGATCTCCATCGGGAGGCCTGCATCTTTGCCGAGGCTCGCCGTGGCCAGGAGAGCCCCTTCCTTCCTTATTCAGCGCTCGTTCTGGTAGCACGGTGGCTGCAGATGGGGGTCGGAGGATCGCCGATGCATCGGCCATGCGGGTCGATGTGGGGCCCGATTTTCTCCGCGCCGACGTCGCTGATGCATCGGCGATGCATCGGCGATGCGGCGCGATTCCCAGACCCCATCTGGTCTACTCGGACCCCAGTTGGGAGGCCTCTGAGAGCTGGTCTTGGGGATCGAGCCCGAGGCTGGAGTCTGCACATACGCACCGCATGGGGAATCGATCTTGCTAGACCCCGGGAGACGGTGAACATGTATAAATCTCCACCGCGCATCGGGAGATCCTTGGGCGGGCGACTCGACCAAAATCCGGTCGACGGAAGTCCGAGTCCTCTCCTCCCCCTCTCGTGGTGCTCCTGGCGGTGTGGGAGCCTCGCGGGTGCCCCCAGGTTTGCACGACCCCGGGTGCAGGAGAGAGGGGGAGCATGCAGGAGGGAGGGGGTGGATGAGGGGAGAGGGAGGGAGGGAGGGAGGGAGGGAGGGAGGGAGGGGAGAGGAGCGAGGAGGTGAGGAGGGAACGAGGAGGGAAGGGGGAGAGGCGAGGGGCGAGTCGGGTTGAGGAGAGATGGTGGAGGGTGGAGGGCTGGGGGGTTGGGGATGGAAGGGGGGATGGGTGTGGGGAAGGATAGGAGAGGGGAGGAGGAATGAAGAAGGGAGGGGTTAAGGGGCAAGGTGGGTGCGTTCTGTGCTGAGTTTTTTTATCCAATGACGAGGGAGTGGCTACGGTGTCCCAGAGGACCTTGATCCCCCAACCGATCCCGTCGCGTGATGCGCATTTAAGGGAAGGGGGGGCTTTGTACATTGGACGAGGATGTGGCGGACGAGCAGGAGGACGAGCAGGAGGAAACGGAAAAAGGAATAGGAAAATGAGGAGGAGGAGGAGGAGGAGGACCAGTGTAAACCCAAGGCTTGTCAACCATGTTGCAATATGCCCTCCCTCGGAGTTCCGTCTTCACAGGTCCTTCGCTTTCATTCAGGCAAGCGTCCCGTTGGAAAACAACCTTTTGAAAATCCTGAACCGTGCTAGAACACCATTCCCAGGACTTCAGCGCCGCGGATCAAATTTACTGTTGCGTCCTGACGATCCTGAACCGTGTCAGATCACCTTTCCTGGAACTTCACCACAGCAGATCATTGTAACTGCTTCGACCTGACAATCCTACATCGTGCCCAAACACCATTTCTGGGACGTCAACCATGAGAATACTTGAAGCGGTTGTGAACTCTTAAGGCGAACGTGCACAACGCTAACGCCAGAGCCACAGTTTGAAACGGCACCGCCCTCCATCCGTGAAACTAGTGCGCACTTTAGAATCCATGTGCGCGGCGCTAAAACGAAAGCCACATTTTGACTACCGTCCGCCCTCCTTCCATGAAGCACATGTAAACTTTTAAAACGGTTTCTTTCGGCGTTTAGACGAGAACCACATTGTGAAAGCCGCCCACCCTCCATCCGTGAAGCTCGTGCAAGTTGTAGGAACGAATGTGTGCGGCGCTAGCCGCCTGAGGCCCCGCCTGCCTGTGCCCCGTCTCCCTAATTGAAGCTGTGCGTAGCCCGCCTAGCTTTTAGCGGAAGAGGTTCGCTCTCGCCCCGCCGACCAAAAAATAATGTGTGCGGCGCTAGGGCGGAAGCCACATTCTGAAAACCGCCCACCCTCCATCCGTGTAGCTCTTACAGGTTTTTGGAACGAACCTGCGCGGCGGTAGGGCGAGAGCCACATTTTGAACATCGCCCGTCCTCCATCCATGAAGCTGCTGCACACCTTTAGGGCTTCTGTGCGCGTCGCTGAAGCGCGAGAAAAAGGCCCGCCGTCCATCCGTGATGCAGTTCCAGATATTCAGCCGAAGGTGGTAGACGATGAGGAAGTCTCAGGCGAAACGCCCGTTCCGCCCTACGGACACGCCTCGTGGTGCGACAGGGAGGAGTTACTTATCAGGAAGAGGGAAGGAGGAGGGTGAGGAGGAGGAGGAGGAGGAGGAGGAGGAGGAGGCGGAGGAGGAGGAGGAGGAGGAGGGGGAGGAGGGGGAGGAGGATGAGGAGAACGAGCAGCCGCATCACGAGCAGGAGGACCAGGGGAAGGCGGAGGATGGGAAAGGAAGGGGGGTGGCAACGACACGGAAGGATTCGGATCGGGAACTCTGGCGCGCGATCGAGCGAGAGCGCGGCTCTGAAACGACGGGAAGAGAGCGCCGATCTTGAAACGTGGCCGACGTTGCAGCGAGAGTTTGGTTTTTGAAAGACTGTCGAAAGCAAAGCATATGAACCACCAAATGATGACATCTTGTGTGCGCAACAGCAATACGCGAGAGAGAGGGGCGGGGCACCACTGCACTTGATGAGGGGACAGAGGGGCAGAGTACTCATATGGAGTCACTGTAGAGGGAGGAGGGGAATTGGGGGGTTTTGCGGGGATGGACTGAGGGATGAGGGGGGGATGTAAATGGAGAGGGGATGGGAGAAGACATGACGGAGAGGAGGGGGGGGGGGTGCAGGGGAGGTGCGAGGGGCTAAGGGGGGAGGAGGAGACAGCAGGGGAGGTGGAGGGGGCAGCTCGCCCTCCCTCCGCTCGTCCCTCCAACCTTCCGACGGCCAGAGACTGCCGGCCAGTGGCTCCTGGGAGTCGGACGAGGCGCGGACCCGGGCCGGAGGGCCACGGAGCGAAGGGCGCCAAGCGCGTTCGCGAGGCGAAGAAGGCGGGCGACTGCGCCGACGACGTCCGCGAGGAGGCCCCTGGCGACTGGACGGGACCCCCGTCAGAGGAGGGAGGCAGGAGGAGGGGGGCCACGAGTTCCAGCAGCTCGGCAGAGGCTCGATGGCACTTCTCCCTGGCCGAGCTCGTTTGGGAGTGTCGTTGCTGTTAGCTTCGAAGCTCGGGGCCACTGGGCCGGTGGGTGGAGCCAGACTCGTGCTGCTGCCAGAATTCCATTCCAGGGGCTGATTTTGATCATCCAGGTGCAACGTTTATAGCCAGTTTCAACATCGAGTTGTCAGAATTTCACTTGCGGGATTGATTTGAGACCATCCAGGTACAATCATCACAGGGGGCTGGCTCTCCGTGCTGCCAGAGCTCTACTTCCGGGGCTGATTTTTCACATACAGGTGCAACCATCGCAGGGGTTTGGCTCGTAAGCCAGATGCCCGCTCCTGGTCGGATTTTTCAAACCCAGGTGCAACCCTCGCGAGGGTCCAGCTCTTCGTGTTGCTAGAGCTCAAGTCCAGGGTTTGGCTTGGAGTGTGCGTAGCCAGGCGTCCAGCGCTTCGTGGTTGTCGTGTTGCCATACCTCCACTCTGGGGATTGATTTGGAGCGTCCAGAACCAACTGTCTGGGGTTGGTCACCTTCGTGTTGCCAGAACTCCACCACACAGCCCCAGCTCCAACTCGGCTGACCTCCAGCCCCAGCTCCAGCTCGAGCCTCGCTCCAGCTCCTCACCACCCGCCAAAACACCCCAACCCAACCCGAAGGCCCCAATTTGCCCTCCATTCCCAGTGGGGGGTGGGCTTGGGGAACACAGAAAAAAACACGTGTGGAACCCGTATCCCCCCCCAAGCCAGAAATGCGGGTCTTCGGGTTAGGTTGGGGTGGTCTGGCAGGTAGTCATTGCAGTCCCAGCTGTACCTCCAGGGGAGGAGGGAGGAGGGAGGAGGGAGGAGGGAGGAGGAGGAAGGAGGGAGGAGGGAGGAGGGAGGAGGGAGGAGGGAGGGGAGGGGAGGCGAGGGGGATGGAAGGGAGAGGCCAGCTCCAGCTCCGGCTCCTCTCTGGCCAGGGCCATCTTGGGCCCCACAGCCAGGGTGGAAAACGGGCCCTTCTGGAGGCTGGCCCAGGAGGGCTCCCAGGCTTGGACCGGGAGGCTACCTTCAAGTCGGGCATGTCCCTCTACAGGAAGGATATGCAAGAATGGTAACAAGACAGTCTGGGGACGATGTGTAGAGGTGAAATTATTTTTGATCACGTTTTAGTTTTTCTTCCAAGGCCCGCCTGTAGGAGGATATGCCCGACCTAAGGCTAGCTGCCATGCACAGGGGTGGGATGGCAGTGTGCCGCTGCCGTCGCCGAGTGCCCAGCTCCCCCGGCCTCTCCGACCACTCCTCCGGGGCCCGTCTCTCGTCCCGAGTCGTTCGTGAATGGGCCCGCAGCCGGCCCCAAGGAGGCCGCCCCGATCTTTTCGAGGCGCCAGACGTTTGGGCTGCTGCCGTGTCTGAGCTTGGCGGCGCGCACTGGGGGCTAGCCTTCTAGGAAGGGCGGGGGCTTCTTACATGAAAGGCGGGGGCCTTCCTAGAGGGCCTGGCTTGCTTCCAAGAAGCCTTCGTGAAAGTGGGAGGGGGGGGGCGCCTGTGCCTATTATCAAGTCGGGCCTGTCCCCCTACAGGGGGATTTTCGACGAAAAATCAAGAATACCACAAAAATAGCCCAAAAATAATCAAGAAAAAGCCTGGGGACTATTTTTTGAATATTTTTTGACCTTTGTGGGGTATTTTTTGGGTATCTTTATTTTTCGTCGAACATGCCCCTGTATGGGGGACAGGCCCGACTTAAGCCTATTACGAATGCCGCTGCCCTCCAAGAGAAGTCCCCCTGCTTTCCTCGGAGGCCGCCCCCCTCGCGCGACCCCCTCGCCCGGACATCCGACGATGCGGTCTCTTCTAGGAGGAGGTGGAGGAGGAGGAGGAGGAGGAGGAGGAGGAGGAGGAGGAGGAGGAGGAGCCCCAGAGGCCCCGACCCCTTTCCTGGCAGCAGTTTTTGTCCGTCCCCTCGGCCCGTGGCCCCCCTGGGCACGAAGACGCCCCCCGGAGGCAGGAACTCCCCCAGGCAGTGCTTGCGCTCGGGATCTCTTACTCCCGGAAGAGGCAGCCGGGCGCGGGGGTCGGTCTGGCGGCTATATAATCGCCGTCGCCGCCCGTCGTCTGTGCCTGGGAGTCCGTCTGGTGGCTATGTCGTCGCCGTCGCCGCCCCGTCGCCGCCCCGTCGCCGCCTCGTCGCCGCCCGTCGTCTGGGCCTGCGTTGCTTCGCGTTGCTTTGCGTTGCTATGCCGTGCTATGCCGTTCTATGTCGTGCTTTGCATTGCATTGCGCTGCATTGCATTGCTTTGCATTGCTTTGCATTGCTTTGCGTACTTTGAATTGCTTTGCAGTGCTTTGCACTGTTTTGCATTACTTTGTATTGCTGTGCGTTGCTTTGCATTGCAACGCGTTGCTTTTCATTGCGTTGCTTTGCGTTACTCCGCATTGCCTTGCATTGCCTAGCATGACATAGCTCTGCAGTGCTTTGCGCTGCTTTTTGTTACTTTGTTTTGCTCTTCATTGCTTTGCAATGCAACGCGTTGCTTTTCATTGCTTGCTTTGCATTGCTCTGCACTGCTTTGCATTGTTTTGCGTTGCTTCTCGTTGCATTGCTCTGCATTGCTTGGCATTGCTTGGCATTGCTTGGCATTGCTGTGCATGGAACAGGACAGAAGGGAGGGGAGAGGGAAGAGGACCAGGATGAGGGGCAAGGGAGGAGGCGGGTTCCAGCTGACGGATGTCTGGAGTCACGATGCCCAGGCGGCTCCGCGGCTGGCTCGCAGGCCAGGAGGGGGAGGCGAAGGAGGAACGAGGATCGAAGTTGAAGTTTGTGTGCTTCCCCTTGCCCCGTTGGACTTCCTCGGAGGGCCCCGAGGCCATGGCTGGATCCACACCGCATAGATTGCAACACATGGGTTGCACCACACAGATTGCGCCACACCGATTGCACCACATGGAGTGCACCACACAGACTGCACAACATGTCGTGCATAACATATCAAATGCAACACACACGCATTGCACCACATGTATTGCTCCACATGTATTGCTTCACGTCGATTGCACAACATATATTGCACAGCATCCACTGCGCAACACAGATCACACCACGTATATTGCACCATACGCATATGTACATACACACATTGCGGCACATCGATTTGACAACACATATTTTACCACATTGCGCAACACATATTGCACCACATCTATTGCACAGCACATGTTGCACAGCATATATTGCGACACATAAATTGTTCAACATATGTTGTACAATCTACTGTAGTGGCCTCTGGCCAGTGCTGCCGATCCAGGGCGCTCCCGATGGTGCTTGGGTTCGCTTGGAGGCCTATGGGGTCGTCTGTGGGCCTTCTTGGGGCCGTCTTAGGAGGAGGCCTATTGAGGGGGTCTTGGAGCCTCTGGGGGGCTTCTTGGCAGCCTTTTTGGCTGTCTTAGGGCGTTAATGGCCCGTCGGACGCCGTCGGAAGCCGTCTTGGGCGCCTCGCTGTGCAGTCTGGGAGGGAGCACTCTGGGGGCGCTTCAGGGCCGTCTTGGAGGCTCGTCTCAGGAGCCTCACGGGCCGTCATAGGGCCATCTTGGAGGCCTCTGGGGCGATCTTGGGGACCTCTGGGGCCGTCGGAAGGCCGAAGAGAATGAAGCGCCCAATTCCTTCAAAAGCATTCCGAAAATCAATGATTTGGGCCTCTTCGGGCCTTCTTTGGGAGGGCATCCTGGGCCATCTCGGGTGCCTCTGGAGCCGTCTGGGAAACACCTGGCGGCAATCTTGGGGCTCTCTGGCCCTCGGGGTGGAGATCTGGCGGCTGTCTGCGTGTCCCGGCCTCGCCCAGGAAGCGGAGCGCAGGCCCCCCCCCTCCCTTCTCTCGGGGGCGGCAAAGAGGGGGGTGATGACTGGGGGGGGGTGGATATCGTGGCGGGGGCCATGATATCTCCCCAGATTTCATGGCGCCTCTTCTCATTTCATTACGTCCCTTGCCCCCCCGCTGGGCCGCGCACATGCCGCCGGTCATGATTTGCACCCCCCCCTCCTGGACACCCCCCTCTTTGCCGCGCCGCTGCCGATTCTCCTGGCAGAGCCCCCCCGGTCCCCCCAGCAGAGCTGAAGCTCAGGCTGATTGCACCACATGGGCTGCACAACGCACACTGTGCAGCACATATGGCACCGCACAGGGTGCACCACATGTACTGCTCCACATCGAATGCGCAACACAGATGGTGCCACATCGATTGCGCCACATAGGTTGCACGACACAGAGTGCACGACGTATATTGCACAACGCACATCGCTAGAAACACCTTGTTTGGGGCCCACTCTGGCTAACCCTGTTGAAAAAGCGTTCATTTTGAAAAACCAGTTCGTCGGATGTACCAGGGCACCCCCGGGGTCGCGAAGAGGGCGGCGCGGCGCGAGGACGCGAGGGCGCGAAGATGGACATCGCGCGTCGCGCATCGCGCGGCGCAAACAGCGAAGTCAGGCGACCCAGATGTCCTGAGGGCTGTGCGCTCCAGCGACGGTCGGCTGCGCGTCCGAGTGGGCCTTCGCTGGAGTGACCCTCGGTCGTGGCCTACAGGGGTCTCCCTGGCACTGTCCAGCGCGTGTGGATCTGAGCCCCCCCGCCCCCCCTGAAGCCGCGCCTCCGCAGACCCCCCGACGCTATGTTTTTTCCACAGCGCCGACCCCCAGGTGCCTCGACCCCTTCCCCAGGACCAGCTTTTCATCCCGAGTCGTTTTTTGAAGGTCACCAGGCACAGCGAGGGCCCCCAGAGGTCGAAAACAGCAAGATACCGCCCGTCGTGATTCCCCTCCCCGCGAGGCAGGCGGTGTCCCCGCGGAAAATAACAACAAAGCCTGCTGTCGTCTTTTTTTCACTGCGCGAGAGGTTCCCTCTTCATCCAGGCCTCTCAGATGGGGTCCGAGCAGATGGGGTCGGAGGACCGCGCTGCATCGCAAGTGCATCGGCGATGCGGCTCGATATGGAGCCTGATTTTCCCCATCCCGCCGTGGCCGATGCATCGGCGATGCGGCGCGCTTCTCCGACCCCAACTACTCGGACCCACTTGAGCGACGCATAGAGAGACGCGATCGACTTCACCGACACTGGCGCGTAAGCTGCCCGCGTGAGGTCGCGCGTGAGCGCCCTCGCTCTCAATGTAGCGTGCCACGCCAGCAGCTCGCGTAAGCCACCGCATCAGGTCGCTACGTCATGTCGCGCAAGGCCCGCTTCTTTTCGTCGCTGCGTGAGTGGCCGCAGTGGAGGCCCCAGAGGGAGCCCTTCCTCCCCTCTGCGGCCTTCGGGAGACGGCAGGGGCTGGGCCAGGTCAGAGCATCTCTGGGTTGCCCACCGCCCCGCAGCCATGCCAGAGAGGCCGTGCCCGCGGAGTCTCCCGTAGTCACCGAGCGCGTTCCACCACTCGCACAGTGCCTACTCGCAAACATCCGAAAAAAAGGCACATGCCTGCATCGATGCAATGCATCGTGAATCCTCCATGGTCAAGCAGTGACGAAGCGTCCTGGCGTGCCTGTAGGCCCACCAAACAATGTTCTCAGGACCCTTTGTGGTTTCCACGAAATGTTCTCATAACATTTCTGGCTGGGACGGTCTTGTGTTAACACATCGGGTTTATGTGCTAAGAACATTGCCTTGCTCTTGGAACGTTTTGGGGTTCGAAGAACATTTCGTGGCAGGACTACAGGCATGCCGGGACGGCCAGTCCCTGCACAAATCATGGCGGATCCAGGCCGCTTGCAAGCAGTTACTTTGCGAGTAGTGGACCGCGCTTGTCTCCATAGGTCCCAAGAGGGCCCAACCGACCAGCTTCTGCGTGCCGCCGCCGACGAGCGCCGCCCGCAGGCCGGCATCGGCGCAGCCCTGCGAGGGCGCCTCCGCGCCGCCGCCCGGGCGGGCGACGCCGGCGCCGTGGAGGCCGCCGACCGCGAGCTGCGGCGGGCGGGCGTGGAGCCCTCGGCGGCGTGCGTGGGCTCTCCGAGGAGGAGGAGGAGGAGGAG